TTACCCTGTTGCTGTTCATTTCCCATCTTTATGTCTAGATTTCGTCGAAAGGTTATCATTGTGGTATCGTTTATTCTGTCGGCTGTGGGAGCAATTGGGGCACTTCTTTTATCAGATAATGATGACGACAAAGGTAAAATGAACCTTACTAATTGATGGGTTTTCCAAAATTCAACAAAAATGTAATGAAAATGAAATTTTAGAGACTTATTATGTAGATAGCTTGTGTTGAAATATTCTCAGAGTTTTCCTTCTGATTATAAATTGGGGTCTTATCCACAGACATGATATGTGCATCGTAAGAACCATTTCGGGGTAAAAATTCCACCTTTTACCATTTTATAACAGGATTACGTACTGCGAAGGGCCAGGAGAATACAGCGGTCAAACGTCTACGCATATGCAAACTTCGTGAGAGCTAATAGGCGTACTTTTATGCTGTCAGAAACAAGCTGTCTCACTAACAAGCTAGGGAGCAATGGCCTTTTAAAAGCATCTAACTCATTGGATGAAGCCAAAAATCAAATCGTAAATCAACAAGATGCCTGTCAATACGGATAAACTTTGCGTTTTTGAAAAGTCTCGACCTTTTTCCTTTCCCTACTTTCTATCCTTCAGCAGATAACCATTAACGTTACAGTTTTTTTGGATATTTTGCAAGAGAGCGGCTGTTTCTTTTGTTTCCTTTGAAATTTTGCGCGGGAAATCAGCGCGAGCCGACCAAAATTGATCCCCGTGCGCATGCCAGACGCTCGTGCTCGTGCCTCCCTTAAGAGGATCGCAGACCTGGATTGGGAAAACGGCTAAAATCAAGTCTACTGAGAGCCAGGCAAGGGTTGGTTCGACTGTCTGTCAACACATCTGCATAGTTCCACTGATGATCATTTGTATCATAACTGAGTATAGCGGTATAAAGAACGACACTCTCTCTCAGATAAGAGTTAACGCTTGAATTTTGCTACCAGGTTATCTGATTGGAAAAATCTTCATGTCCATGGTTGTTGCTAGGCTTGCTGTTTCCATCGCATTCACACTGATCTACATTTTCACTGCAGAGATGTTTCCGACAACTTTGAGGTAATTAAGTGGCCCAGCACTGCTGAAAGGATTTTATAAGGTGATCCGCAGCAAATTCTGTCACCATAGGGAAAAACAAACTCTCTTTTTCCTTTCATTTATAATATCATTTTATTTCGACACGAATTCGATCAATTTATTTAATTTCTCTTTTATTTTGCGGTTTTAGAAGTGTAGAAGACAAAGTAGTTGTTTCTTTTCATTTCACAGACGCTATTTGCGCATTAACTGACTACTCTTTATTATTGTAGAAACTTCTTATGTGTTCGCGCAGAGCCTCGTAACAAGGCAACACTTAAGTAAGGCTATACTTATATTGAAGTGCCCTATGCTCATCTTGTTTTTACTTTTTCGGTGTTCTGGTAAAGGAATGTTGCCATGGGTACATCAACGGCTGCTGCACGTGTAAGCGCTTTATTGTCAGCCTTCGCTCCGCTTTTGGTAAGTGTGCAGCATACTCATATCTACTAAAGGTAGTCCTCTTACTTTAGTTGGGAAGTGATATCCACTGAGCATAACCTTTGCTACTACTTGAATCGCAAATAGCGTCTCAAAGTACAATGCAGCATGTCTAAACAGGGTATACGTAGCTGAATAAACACATTTTTCTAAGAACAGCAAAGAGTCACCAGCAAGGCACCAGCGACAATTTATCCACCCCTAACACCTATCTCAGTCCATGCGTTTAGAATTTTTAGCTGTTACGATGGATTTCGTTGCATTCCTTCTATGAAACTAATCACAATATCTGTATCCCTTGATACTTGTGGTAACGAGGGCGACAATGAGAGGAAATCTCAACTTTGAAAGGAGAGAGGTGTAATTTAACAAACGGGGATGTTTGTCGTCTGTTCTAAAACCTCAACCTCCTTTATTCAACAGCTAACCGTCCACAGGTTTCTTCCATTTGGAATAATGGCTGGTTTGGCTTTAGCAGCTGCTTTTGTGTGCCTCACTCTAGTAGAGACTCACAACCAACCAACTGTAGAAAATCTGTTACAGAACGAAGTATGCCAATCGAAGAATGAAAAGCCTGGTGACAAGGAACTCGTTGCCAAAGTCTAATCGAAGACCCAAGAAAATAAGTCAAAACTGTATTGAAATCAGACCACTTTGTTCTTTAGAGATTGTTCTGTTCTTTCAGCTAAACTCGGTTTCATGGCAAGAGCTCACTAACCCTAGCTGGTGAGGCTTCATTACTTAAAGAGAAGGTTAACTTAGGGGTTTTTAACCGAGTTAACAGAGTAGTGTGTTAACAAAGGCAATTTATAATCATTACTCGTGGGGATTGATAGTTAGTCTTGGCCCAGTGAGTTAAGTCAGTCGACCCATCGTCTCTGCCTTTAGTTGTCTCACTGAACTTATTTCCAGCAATTTAGACAAAATTATGGCTCCTATCATCAAAACGTCATACATTATAGACAGCCAACTTGCACTTGAAATTTTTCGCGACTTTTTTTTCCCTGGCCAGGACAAACTTCTTTTCACTTGATAATATAAATTTATTCTGTTGTCTCACGGCAAAGTCACTAGATGTAGATCGCCGCGTTTCGACTGCTTACTGCAAGTTTTCTTCAGGCGATGGGGTCGACTGGTTCCGGCACAGCATCATGTATCATGGTGGTCTGCTGCGAGTTCACTTCTCTGACTTTTCTAGACACCAAAATTTCAATTGAAGGCGAAGGTCTTTGCGCCAGTGTTAACTACAAACCTGGCCACCGATTCACATAGTTACCTGTTGTATTCATCTTTGCATCCATTCCCCTTTCCCCAGTTTCTCAGACTTCGTTGTTTATGCAGTGACGACTCTGATTTTTTCCGAAAAATCAGAGGCAATGTGCCAGTTTTTCGATGAATGGTACTATCCTGTTTATGTCGTTCAAGCTGTCCACCCTGAACCACGCCCAACAAATTGATCGACAGAAAACGCTACAAACGGTACAGAAGGACACATTTCAATTACTTCGAAACAATTCAGAGACTGGTACTATCTTTTCGCAACGTCGCCTCATTTCATTCAAACGCGATTAAAAAAGATATGCAACTTTTTGGTCGGAAGTTCATTTCAAACTAATGACCAAACTGGAACTTTCACATGCGCTCGCTCACGATGCAAAACAAGGACGCAGTATATGGCAGTATGCGGCCTTCCCCTACATCTAGGTAGTTTGGAAAGCCGCAAAACGCTAGAACAAAAATTTATCTTTCAAATTGGCATTCTTAATCCCCACGGTATCAACGAGCGCTCTTCATTCACCTACTTTATTTTTCGAGAAACATGTTTTTCGTCTTGTCACGAGCGTGGGACAAAGAAGAAATTCTGAGTCCCCATGAGGAATCGAACCTCAGACCTTCGGATTCCGTGCTCTGATGCTCTACCACTGAGCCACGGTGAGCGAGGTCCCTTACGAAGTTCATATAACACGCGTCCTGCATACTGCTAGAATCAGCAACGTCAATAGCTTCATGTTTGTAAACAGAGTAAGAGAGATGGTGAGTTTTTTTGAGCACGCGTCCTGCACACTGCTAGGATAAGAGCATCGGGCCACGCTCGAGAAAAGAAGAAATATATCTTTCTGTATTTCTATATCGAGCGCAATACTTACCATCTCTCTCATTCTATTGATTTATTCTTGTTTTCTCGTCACCATGTCCCACCAGCGTGGCTCCATGTTCTGCATATAAACTTACACACAACCCACAATTCCTCTGTTCGCTCTGACGAAGGGCTAACGCTGGAAACTTCAGCTCTGAAGCTCTTAACGGCGGCTTATTTACATTTTCAACTCTTTTGTTAGTACCAAATTACCTGTTGTTCTCTCCCACCGACGCAGAACCACAGTTTCTTCAGAAACTTACCACCGTTAGTGATATAAACTAAGGCTGAGACTGAAGAACATATCAAGGGCACAGATTGGAAGAGCAACTAATTCTTGACCCACTCTGGGCTTGAATATCCGAGGTAAGCACCATTAAGATATGGAAATTGACTTCGTAACTAAATTTAACGCTCAGTAGTACATAGCACATATGAAAAAAAAAACATTTAGCACCGGTTTTGTACGATTGTAATCGACATGAAAGTGGGTTTTTGTGGATCATGCAGGAAATCATTCCACCGCAGCCCATAAATTTAATGCGAATGTATTCAAGACTTAAGACTTTCCTGAAGCTACTATAAAACCCGTAGACGAGTGTAGGGTAAAGTTTCCGCACAGCCCCATACTATTGTAAAACAAATCTGTTTTCCCAACGGAAATGTATTGTTTTTGTCATTGTTTCCTCTGTTCAAGAACTGAATGCATAATGTAGGATGGGGCTGTGCGGAAATTTTACCGAGTGTAGCTATCGACATCAATCTTACAAAATAAGACTGATGGCGTTGTTTAATCTCTAGGGTATATCGTGCTGTCGACGTTTTAATAATAATGAGATCGGTTAATTTTTCATCCTGTAAATTCCTAAGTTGTCGGCAAATATCTGTGTTCTTTGATTCAGTAACTCCAGATTGTTTCGATCCAATGGAACTGATGAGATTATTGCAAGATATTCTCGTATGAAAACTAGCGACAGAGACTCGGCTAAAAATAAGTAACTTGAAATACACTGGATTGTAAATAAAGTAAAGGCATGTCCAGTTCTTGTCACGGATCGATGAATCAGCACATCAAATCATCCCTTAACTCCATTTTGATTAGGGAATGAAAAAGAAAAACATACTTATTATTCACAGTAGACGCTCATCCCATTCTTTAAATAGATGCACAGTTGAGCACAGTTATTAAGTCAGGTCATTTTCTTTTATCACTGAGACGAACCCTGAGCACTGGCATGTCCTTTGATCTTTGATGTAAACCATCTTTTGTTTCATCACAGACACAAAAGGTTAATTCATGAAAGCGTCACGCGTTGTATAACTTGGTGTTAAGTCACGATATCCAAACAAAGGTCATTTTAAAACAATCAAGAGCCTCTTGAAACTGCATCCCGGATGACACTTTTTCAAAGACACGTAAAAATCAGTCAAACAATTAAACCTCAATGTCTCGTTCGTTATAACTCGCAACACATTTCGTAGTTTACAGAATGATTCTTCTGTTGGTGATTATAATAACCACTGACAAATGCATATAGAGTGAAACAAAAGAAACAAAGACGGGAATGACGTAAGTCTGAAAAGGTGAAGTGCAGTGTTTGCTGAAAGACCTTTGAAAAGGCCATGGTTGAAAAAAAATAGGGCCTTTTTAGCATGACAAAGCATCATTGTTACAATTTGACGTCCTTATTACGATCTCTTTCGTATAGTTAAGTAATTTTAGTTATTGTTATTGTTGTAATGTTTTTAACTGTTATAAATTTTGAACCATTAAACTATCTGCTCTTCTCAGACCTCTTACATCAGAGTGCTTATTGTAATTTTTCCCTTCCTCGCAGTCATGGCGCTTACAACGGATCAATACCTAGAAAAGATCGGTAGCTTTGGTCGCTATCAGATTCTTCTTCTCGTATTCCTAAATGGCCTGATTTTCTTCTGGTTTGGTTGGCCTGTGATGATTCCGGTCTTCATCACTGCTGAGCCCCCGTGGAGGTGTGTGGCAAATAGCAGCATCTGTAAACTAAACGGCACCATGAAGTCTAGACATCCTGACTATAATTTCAGATGTAATATTTCTCGTGATCAGTGGGAGTTTGTGGACGATTTCACTTCAGTCGTGACAGAGGTAACATCAGTAAAAAATCAAATAGATGCTTCTGCGTCCTGATCTGAGTAAGCCCTGATTGTTAGCACTTCAGCAGGTCTGCAAGGGGTCTGGCACTAATAATGATCATATCAGCGCCATACCCCTTGAGGACTTCTCCTCGACTCGTCTCAAATCTTCCCGCGGGCTGCAAAACGTGCGTCCTGCAGTGCTGATAATGAGGGCCTTCTCACAGGCTACGTCCTGATGAATATGATGTCTTTGTTGGAAAGGACAGTGTATCGCCTAGAGTTGATGGGGGCTCTTCTAATTTCAAGGAAAAAAGAAGTGCCATTCGTCGCCTCTAATTTTGTAAGATACTTTGGGAGTATTCTCAAATCCTAGAATGGAATTTCTTCACACTCCCCTTGAGAGGTCTTTAACCCTTTAACTCCCAGATCAAATTTGTAATTCTCCTTTCTGTCAACCATACAATTTTAATTTTGTTAGTTCAGAGAATTTAGTATTAGATCAACTAATTATCCCCAAATTGATATTTTTCTTTATTCGCATCACTTATCTGGTTGATTCTGTATTGATATTATAAGGAGAAATTCTCTCTTGGTCATTTATGAAAGTTAAAGGATTAACTATTCATTCAGAGGCGCCAACTAGAGCCTGTTCGTTGGTTCGATGAGTGGTCACATAAATTAAAAGAGGCCTTTTTTCCCATAATGTAACTTGAAGAGGCATTCATGACCGTGGAGAAAAGAAGTAGTGGCTCATTGTAGATTTTCAGGAGGCATTGCCATTCAGAAATATCAAATAATGATTTGGTTATCAACTAAGTTAATGATGTAAATTGGCCACAGCAGAGAGTTTCCAAGGTTAACCCCAGAGCGGCGAAGGACGAGTGGCTAACGCTCGAAACATCCATTTCCGGAACTCTTTAGGGTGGTCAATTTACATTTTAAACTCAGCTGATAAACCAAATCATAAAGCAGTACCTCAACCTTTATTAGGTAATATCAACAGCTTTCATACTGAGCTAAGTGATTATGAAAAATAACTTACTTTTTAAAATAAAAGGTTTTTTTATTACTATTATAATTAATATTGCTGCCATCCTTAGACCTTATTACTGCCTGACTTATTTGCCTATAGTTTGATCTGGTGTGCGAGCGTGGTTTGTACGGTACCATAGGATCATCCATGATTTTCGTTGGGTTCTTTTTCGGCGGAATTGTTGTTGGTCCTTTCAGTGATAAGTTTGGCAGGAAGATCACCATGTACTTATCTGGCCTCATCTTGTCAGTCATGAGTCTGTTGGCCGCTTTTCCTGAAGCTTTTTGGCTCTTTGCACTCCTCAGATGTTTGATTGGATTCGGGATAGGTCAGTGAATTGACCGTAAGGAACGTTAAGATGAAGTGATGAAACACAGTCACCTGTATGTGATGTAAAGTTCTACAAACATTTTTACGCCATTCGATAAAGCATAGCACTTGTAGTTCATGCTGAGAGCAAATGACATTGGAAGAAATAGGACTAGGTCATGTACCACCCAAAACTGCATTACAAAAAGTGTTTTGGCATCTTTTAAAATAGAAATTGAAATTATCGCAGGTAATCTTGAAAGAAAAGTTTGCCCCAGAAACTATACAGGTATTGTGTCTACCTTAAACTAAATATGACATTGGACACAGACCGCACCTCGAGATTACAAAGAGCTACTACGCCTTCCGAAAATTGTTTTCACATGTGCCATGAGAATGATTACCGATGCCATCATGTTCAATATTGCTTAATAGCCCGGCCACAAATCTGTTATGTAAAATAACGAAATTGCACCTCCCTTTCCACCAAGAAATCTACTTAAATAATGAGAAGGTGTACCAGAGGGGTATTCCTAACTAAAAATAAGGACTTTTCTGTGATAAAAAGAGCAAAGGCTGGTTATGAGGCGTGCGCTGTGGCTTTGCGTGTACTTCCAGGTTATTCAGTTGCTCTCAAAAGATCGGTGTCCAAAGTCGAAATTAATTTAGGGATAGAAAACAAGAGCTAACCACGCCAGCACTTCCAAGGTACACAAACTATTCCTAAGTTACACCTTTGAAGGGTTAAGTATGTATATTCATGCCCTTTTTTTTCTACATCAGGCGGGTACAGCATCGCCGCTTATGTTCTTCTGACCGAGCTCGTTGGAATTCGTCATCGCAGCACTGCGGGCTGCTCCATTTGGTATTCCTTCAATCTCTCCAACATGGCGCTGGCCGGGCTGGCATATCTTGTGAGGGACTGGAGAAAGCTATCAATCATAATGGCGATTCCAGCAATTCCATTCGTGCTTGGATGGTTGTGAGTTGATATTTATTTTTTTATTATTATTTTTAATGAGTATAGATAGCGATACTTCCCCTTATCGTGACCTTCAACAATTAACAACTGCAACATTCTTTCCTTACGACTCCCAGCATCATAAACGCTTACTTTTGCACGAAATAAAGTTCAATCTATTTATTGAATTCATTTCTTTTTTTCAGTTTTACTCCAGAGTCAGTGAGATGGTTTCTTGTGAAGGGCAAAACTGAAAAAGCAGAACAAATCCTCTACAAGGTTGCCAAATTCAACAAGAAACCAATACCTCAAGAACCACTACAGGATTGCGAGAAACAGCGACTGGGAGACTTGCGGGACTTGTTCAAGACGCGCGCTATGACTCACAAAACACTCATATCTTGGTATTGCTGGTAAATGCCCTCTGCTTTTTTTTTTAATCAATACCTAGCTCTAACATCTGATTATTCTCTAAGGGGATAGCAAATTTGGAACAAAAACTCAAACTTGATTGTTTACATTTAATTGTTTCACTGAACAACCCAATCTCACTGGAAATTCGCTCGGTACCAAACAAGTATACATGAAGGTTTTAAATTCAGTTAGTGATTACCGTTATTCCTAATCATAAAACAATTTTAAAATAAAAGATAATAGATAAAAGATAAAAGATAAAACCGCTTTGCAGTTAATATAAGGATAAATAGTCAATTGAGCCAATCAATCTATGAACACTTAATCAAATAAAGTATACGAGTTTTTCTCTCATGAACAGGAGGCTTGCCACTGCAACTCAGCGTCAAAAATCTCCATGTGGATCGAAAGAACATCGAGAAAAAGCCTGTGGCTTTTCGCCCCTTGACATGACTTTTATAGAATTTTAGAAGAGTGAGATGCCCCTATTGCCCTTGACAAACAAACTTCTGCTGCAGATCTGTTTATGACGGCCAAACTCCTCCCCATGTCTCTCCTTTTCATTTCACACTGTCATATTTTCTGGCTTCGTCTTTTATTGTAAACTGTGGCTTTTTTCTTCTTTTAGGTTTGTGAATGGCATGGTGTATTACGGAGTGTCTTACAGCTCTCCGTTTGTTGGTGGTAACGTGTACCTCAACTTCTTCATCACAAGTACTGTAGCATTGGTCGCCTACCCCGCACTTGCCTGGGGATGTAACAGGTTTGTCTTTTACTATAATGTTATGTGAGCCGTCAGCGATCCAAGGCCCAGTTATTGAAAGTTCCTATAGGTTTCGGTCCTGATCGTAAAGCTGCTTTTCTTTTTGCTATGTTAACCCAGTTTAAGACCGAGATTTTGATAGTTAGGAAATTCATACAAAAATAGACAGAATGACCTAATTTTGAGCATATTCTTGGACTGCTATTCCATTGGCGCAGATTTCAAAATATGGCTTGGGTTTGTAAAGTTAAGGGGACTTTCGAGAAAAGGGCCCCTTACTTTTGAATCTCATCATACTGTTTCGATTGGTTTTTGGTGAATTCGCCACATTTCAAGTCTTCCCTACCACCTTTACTAGTGCGTCCCCTAGCGTTAAACAAGTTCGCCCCCCCCCCATCTTAATTATGCATGACCTTTTTAACAGATTTGGCCGCAAGAAGACCATATGCTGTGGTCTTTTCTTTTCTGCTGTTGGTTCTTTTGGATCCGTTGTGCTCACTTTATTTGACGATGGGGAAAGTAAAGGTACGGACGCCGTTCAGTAAACACTTCTTTCTGTTGGAATGGAATATTTGCAAATTTAAGATTGCTTACAATTCCCACCTTTTGGTAGTTTAGTCGTCTTATTCCATTGAATGATTATATGGTTAGTGAGGTCACTGAGAAACTCTAGTGATGACATTCCCCTCTCCGCTTCAATTCTCCGTTTAGTTCATTTTAACAGAAGCATATCATATTTGTGCATGTTCTCAGGCGGACGTTATGATAAAATCTAATTGTAGATAGTTTTCAGACTTATTTTGTCTTAAAACCCTCATGCATTTGACGTTCGCCATTTGCAAGGAATTTGAAAAGAATGGTTGAAACGTCATCTCTTCCAGAAAATATTTTCTCATGCATTTTAACTTTTCCATGGAGTCTACATGAGACGGAAACTATCCCCCATGTATTTGGTCCAAAGCCTCGATAGCAACTTGTGACTCAAGACAAAAGACTCCGAATTTGAAAGTCAAATTCCTAAGCGTTGACTAGTTATCATTGTACACTGTTTTATATTCAACAGACCATACTGGTGTCATAAATTAAATTTTCTGTCACACAGCACGTTGTACGATGCCGTTCATGTTAAGCTCATACTTGTCTTGTCTAGTAACGCTAAAAAACTCAACAGAAATGGAAAAAAAATCAGCAACAATAGCAACGAGTACAACCAATTACGGCCGCTAGGATGGTATCTGTCTCAAACATGAATAGTAAAGTTGAATTATAACTGCTGACAGCTATGTGTTTGCCTCTTTTCTATCTTAGGAATATTGGCTGGAAAAATCATCTTTTCGTTGTGTATTGCCAAGTTTTTCATCGTCTTTGCTTTTGACGGATTTTACGTCTATTCCGCTGAACTGTTTCCTACGGTTGTCAGGTACTTATGCGCCCATATTTTCGGGGAAAGAATGTTCCAGGAGCTAAACATAATGAAGTTAATGACGATGAAAATAACAATGACTATGACGACCACGATGATACTGATGATGATAATGATAAAGAAATAAAGCGCTGTATAATTTGAGAAAGTCAGTAAAGGGTTTCAGATCCAACTAAAGCATATTGGTAAATTTATCTGTATGGAACAGACATAACTTAATGCTTATCAAGTAGGTTAACTGCCTTTTTTAAACGTATTACTAGTATCCACTAAAGGCATTATCACTGGTCATTTTTGGTTGTCGTGGTAACATGATAATTTAAAAGAATGATGTTCACCTCTACACTGAGTCATCACCAACCGTTGGCCGATGGCTGACTTAAACTCCTCGGCCGACAGGTGAACAACAGTTACTGTTCTATAATGACCAATTTAACTGTCGGTCGAAAGACGACCAACAGATGACCGACAGTCAACCGACGAATGATCGAAAGTTATCCGACATACAATAGGCATTTAAAGGACATATGGCCGACAATCAACCGGCAGATGTCCGACAGTTAACTGACAGACGGTCGACAGTTAATCGACAGATGTCTGACAGCAAACCAAGAACTAGACGACCAACTGTCTTCCTTAGGGATCTGATCTTCACTTTTAGACTGATTTTTCCCACTCATCTTTGTTCTTTTCACCCTCAGAAATGTTGGAATGGGAACTTCTACATCTGCTGCCCGCGTGGGATCATTCCTATCGTCTTACATTGTTTATTCGGTAAGTTTAATTGCCCCTTTTGACTTTTAGCTGTCTCTCGGCAACCATTTCTTTTCTGCATCTTAGGCCTCAATGGATCATTTCTTAAATAATCCTCTTCATAGGTAAAAAATTCTAGAAAATATCCCGAGAGTGCAATTCTAGTGCACATTGACAAAGGCCGGCATGTTAAGAGAAATGCGCTTTACATGAAATGAGATATCAATGTAGAACTGAGTTAGCCAATCGAAGTTAGGATTCAGGCTTTAAGGTTGGCCTCAGTACGAGTAATGGTGTGAGGTGCGGTGGCAATCAATGAAAACAGTGAAACAATGATTTTTGTTCTATTATTAAAAGTTGTTGTTATTGTTGTAGCAACGTGTACACAAACTACTACCATTTGGCATTATGGGTTTGAACGCGTTGATAGCTGGGTTACTGTGCATGACGTTGCCGGAGACACGTGATCAACCAACCTTGGAAGTCATGGAAACAACAGATGAAGGACAAAATATGGAGCTGCTTGCTCAGGATGATGAAAAGAAAAAGAAGGCAGACGACAGCCATCTGTAGCAAGAAGAAAACAAACATACTAAACCGAATAATAAACAGCATCTAAAAATGACAAATATTTGGGCATTTTCATGTGCAGAAGGATAGCCGCTCTTCTTCTTGAATCTCCCTTATTGGTCAAGAAAGAAAAAAATCGCTTGACAACTTAACAAAGCAAAAAATCCTCTTTTAGCCAAAGCGTGACTCCGTGGAAAATCGTTGTTTACAATTTCTAAAAAAGATATATACCACTAGCTTCTACTGCTAACAAAATTATCCTATGTCGTCCTATTAAAGTGCACTCGTAAGAGTTGTGTCAATTCATTCTAAATACATCTTGCCCCTTAATTAATGTAAATTTATAGTTTATGGAAAAAAAACTAGGCAATAAATGGTGACACGCCCTAGCATACACGTGCAATCAGATTTACTATTCCTTCCAGAACAGGGCTTTTTTCCCCTTCTATTTGGGTGAACATGCAGACAATCCACAATTTGTTTGTTAGTTTCAAATCCCTCTCCTTGGTTAATCATGCTCTTAAAATGCATTTTTATTTATGCATTGTCATCATTAGCAACTTCTCCATTAACTAAGGCTTCTTTTTCCTCCTCGGTGACATTTTTGTTGTTATCGTTGTTGTCCTCATGTTCGTCCTCGTCCTCGTCCTCTCCAGATGTAGTGCTGTATTTCTTAGCGTCAATAGTCTCAAGAGTTGGTTGGTTTGCGGTTTCAGGCAGAGTCAAACACAACAAACCACAAAGCAGGGCGTTGCCTCCCATGACAGCGTAAGGCAACATGATGTGAACATTACTCTACATCGACATGACAAGAAATTAAAAGAGAGATGTTAGGGACTGGTCATTGCTTCACCCTGAAGGGGGGGGGGGGGGGATGGGAATTGGTTGTGTCATGATAAAAATTACGTGATCCCCTCTTCGTTGGCAGTTAATTAGCAGTCAATTTTTTGCAGGCCTTCTCTGTTGGTAGCTACTAATCCCCCCGTGGTTGCCCCTGAAAACTATGTGATACCCTCGAATTCCTTTCCCTCTCCCCTTGGCGATTAAACATGAGTGGTCACCAGGGGAAGTCGATGATGACAGGGCATTATGGTTTCATACGCGAGAAGCGTCCCGCTCTCAACCGAAGATAAGGAAAGTGGGAAGAGCCTTGAGAGTACAAAATTGTTTAATAAAGCGAAAAGTGAAACCGGGTTTACTTACCAAGTAAACAATGTACGGTGAACAAAATGCTCCAATCCTTGCGGAAGCAGTAGAGGTTCCCATACCGATGTTTCTATTGAGAGTTTAATAGGACGAACATTAATTAAAATACAGGATTACCTCATTTGGAGATGATTGCTAGGCAATGCTTAAAATGCTTGAATCTCCCTTTCGAATAAAATGTCATTTGAGATCAAGCAAATAATTTACAAATGAGTTGAGAAACATTCAGGATAAATAAAAATATAAGGTAAAAACCTGCAAACTAAGCGCTGGCAGCATAAGTGTCTCGGCTCACCCACCTGTTATAATTTGTTTGAATTCCACAGGGGCAGATCTAGTGAGCTTTTGATGCTTTTGATATGGGGAATAATAAGTAAGGAAGGGGGAAGGGGGAAGGGGAGGGGGGGGAAAGCCAACTTCTTTGATTCGGTAAACACATCTATTTTTCCTTTTTAAAGAAAAAATATTTCAAGACAATACCAGTAACCGTTTATGCTCTCTAGTATGAAGGTGTGTTGCCTAGGAACATGAAAGAAAGACAGATCTCTTTATAAAGAACACTGTACGTGAACCCCCCCTCCCCCAGCCCCTTGAATCACCGCGCTTGCTGAAGCATAAAGAAGTTATAGCTAAGATTTACCTGATAACGGTAGGAAAGAGCTCTGCAGAGTAGACGTAGACCAAATCAAACGTTATGGTGATAAAAACCTTAGCAAAGACCATTGAAAAGATTATCCTTCCAGCCAACATCCCTTAGAAGAAGAAGGGAAACAAATTTTAACCGAGAGAAATCACAAGAAAGAAAAAAAAGGAAAATATCTACCACCTAGAAATGTATAAATATTACATCCTCTGCGATTTCACGTTAAAAAGATTTTGCACTTGTTTTTAGAGTGAGAAAGTCATCGTAACCATATAGAATTGATTTTAAAATTCTTATCATGCAGGCCATCACATACACAATGTAAGCCGAGAGGAAATTGTGGTGCTGAAAATAAAAACCAAACGCCTTTGATACCGATGTCTTTCGCACAGATCTCAGCAACGAATGTTTCTGTAGCAGAACGAGAACAGTTCGAGCGCATTTGCTCAAGCCCCTTTCGCTGCTGCTGTCTTTGTCACTTAATAAAGCCTCATGCCCAATATACTCTTTACCAACCAATGCACGGAAAACCAGCTGCAGGGAGCAAGGTTTGGAGATCCACTTCTGTTGCCTTTGGAAAGCCCCATAAACGCTCCAATCGGGCAGAAAAACCTATTTTAGCTCAAAACATGAGACAAAATTCGAATCCCTTTCAATGAAGCATTTACCTTTGTTGGAATCGTCTTCTGTGGTTAAAAGTACTGCCCCAATGGAAGAGACAGCAGCAAGAATCAAACTGCCTATGATAACCTTTTTTCTTCCAAACCTGAAGCACAAGTGAAATACAGAGACTATCATAAAACATTTTATGGCTTGAAGTTTCTCGATTATCGTAAACCTTTTGTTTCCTTTGCTTCGGGTCTCAGTGGATGTTGTTTCACCACAGTATTCATTTATTCATTCTTTCATCAATTTATTTGCTGATTCATTTAATCGTTCATTTTAATCCTCTCGTTCATTCATTTTTTATTCATTTATCAATTAGTTCATTCATGTCTTTTAAAATGTATCTTAACAAAGGGCTTTAAGTTATTATAATTTACCAGTTCCATGTTTCACGAAAGTTAGCCCAAAAGAAATCATTTGGTGCCAATGAAAAGTGATAACTTTTCATGGAAGTATTTTTTTCTTTTCATGACAATTTGTCTGAGATATAAAGCTTTTACATAAAATGCTCAGCTCACACACCCTTGACACTCCACCGAGGGCAAGGGGAAATGTTTTCTAAATGGAAAGTAATGGCGAAGAAACTGCTTCTGTTTAGGGGTTATGTTTCTAAAGAAACTGTTGTGCTGCTGGGGGAATATAGCAGGGTAATTAAGTATTATCAACTGAGTTCATAACGTAAATTGGCCATAAAGAGCTTCAAAGCTGACGTTTCGAGCGTTAGCCCTTCGTCAGAGCGGATGGAGGAATTGCGAGCTGTGTGTGTGTTTACATGCAGAAAATGGAGCTATGCTATTGCTGGCGATGTGAAAGGTAAATGTTTGTTTTACAGTTTTACGGCTTCCCGAACTGCCTAGATTTGGGAAAGGCCGCAAACTGCCATATGCTGCTTCGAATGAGTAGGGGGATTAAAGTGTCTAGCGACCGATCTGCACTCTTAATTCCCCGAGGTACCAAGAAGCGCTTTTCATTCAACTAATTTATTCTTGTTTTCTCGTCACCATATTCCCACCAATAGCGTAGCTCGATTTCTCCATATAAACACGCACACAAAACCCATATTTCCCCTATTCGCTCTGACGAAGGGCCAAAGCTCGAAACGTCAGCTTTGAAACTTATTTACGCTTTGACTATAACTAAGTCATACGGTGGCCAATTTACGCTATCAACTCAGTTGATGATTCTAAATTACCCTGCTTATATTTTGGTATCGGTTGAACTCACCTATCTGATGACCACACAATGATTGGAAGGCAGAATACTTCAATGAAACTTGTAAGAAAGAAGTTCATGTATAAGTTTCCACCCACATTTGGAGTGCTAAGGTACACTCCATAGTACACCATGCCACATACGAACCTAAAATTTTGACAGGAAAAGAAAAACAACCTCAGTTTAAGAATGACTCATTCCTATCTTGACTTTCTGAGATGTGTTTTGCTACCTAAAACCATAAACATGCTAATAAATATTCAAGATAAGTAGACTATAAATACTCAAAGTTGAATTGAATTGCGATCTTGGTGTTTAGACAGGTATAATAAACCCCACATGTCTGACTGGACCCTTAAATATGCCATTGCTCTATGCAATAAAGAAATTAGAGTGCAAAGTTTCCTTGCGAAGCATTAGATTTTTAAACAAAGTTTCTTGTAGGCAAATTAATTAAACAGGTAAATTGAAGAATAAAAGTAAAACACACACAAAAAAAGAATATAAAACTATACCAAACAAGGCAAAAACAAACAAAAATAAAGCAAAACAGAGCAGACTGCAAATCAGATCGCAACAAAACAGAACTGAAAAAAAAAAAAAAAACCAAAAGCCCAACAAAGACAAAAAAAAATCACCTTTAACTATTCGTCTACAAAGAAAATGAGACACCAACATATAATTTGAGGAGACATCATCAGCGATAGCACCAAAATAACAATCAACAATAACGCAGCAGCCACAGCAACTGAAATTATCCAAATCAATCTTTTCTGCATAATATACTTACCAAATGTACCAGGACAACAACGTCTTCCGTGCCATCAGTTTGGATGAGAACAAGTCGCGCACATCTCCTATTCGTGTCTGGTCCTCAGGTTCCATCAGGTCGTCTTTAGGCATTTCCTTGCCGTTAACTTCAGAAACGCGTTTGAGAATAACCTCGGCTCGCTTTGCTTTTCCCTTCAATAACAACCAGCGCGGAGACTCCCTGGTAATGCTAAATGTGTTGGATTCAACATTGTACTTTAGTCCTCAATAAGTGCACACCCCATCACGAACAAAAAAGATAACCTGCAGTGGTTCCTGAATTAATTATGCAGTTTTTAGCAATATCGAAATGTTTGTATCGCATGATCACTTATTTTCTTCAGAGTAATGATACGACAGAAAGAATTTGCAAAGAATAACTTGAAAAAGCTGCATTGCTCAATCGCAGACAAATTTTTTTGCAGGGAGCTTTTGCGTGCTCATGTATGCTCAATGTATTGAAGAGAAAATCTGTAAAACTTACAACCATCCGAGAACAACTGGAATAGCTGGAACACCACAGGCGAGTGCCAGTGTTCTCCAATCACGGATGAAATATGCAAGAAGATCCAAAAAGAGAAGAGAAAATGTCCAGCAGTACCACAATGAAACACCGATAAGACTTCGGTGACGAACACCGACCATCTCTGTCACTAACACGTATATGCCGATACTGGAACCACCTGCAACCACACATGTTTCTCAATTAAAACTGTTATGGATAAGTTTTGATGGAAAAGAACGAGTTAGAGAAGTGGACGAGGTCAGAGAGCAAGAGGAGCCACCTCGTAGAATGGCCACTGTTAAATTCTTATTTCCATTATGCCCATTAGAAGGAGAAATAGAGGAGAGGGTGGAAGTATGGAAAGGCTAAGAGAAGAAGGAGGGAAACAAAGAGAGTATAGGTGGGGATGAGTAGTAGGAGCAGGGTGGGGAGGGTGGGATCGAACAAGAGAAATAGCAGAGGGGGCAGGTTAGGAAAATAGAAAAGGGGATCTGGAGACGAGGTGAAATGGCATGAAGTGAAGAAAATACTGTAACGGCAAATACAAAATACGGTAAAGGAAATTTGGAATTTTTACAGGAGCATAAAACAGGAACAGAAGGTTGTTATCATTAATTCGTCATTTACCAACTCCAAATCCAACGAGGAAACGGAAGACAACAAACAGCCAGTAGGCATGTGGAAAAGCACTCAGAAGACTGAACAAAGCGATGATGCAACCATACGAATAAATGGTGATTCGTCTGCCCAGCTTGTCAGCGAAAGGACCAACTGTTATTCCACCCAGGAGGAAACCCAAGAATATCATCGACGTCGCTATGGAAACGTATATTGCTTTGTCGCAGACAAGATCAAACTGGAAATAATAAATAAAAATGACCAATTTAAAGTTCACTAACTTAACTATCAAGTTGCATTATAACAACCTAAATATGATACATTTATTTGTTCAAAAATTTGAGAAATCCTATTTTTTTTATTTATTCCCTTACACCCTATGTAGGGTGAACAGGAGTATCTTCCTCACAATACATTTATGCCACCGATAATGTCATAGTATATCAGAATCAGCTATCTATATAAAAACTCTAATAAATCCCCCTTTCTCTCGTACACACTTTTAGCTATTAATCGTCTACAATAGCAAATTTTATCATTGCCAAATTTTATTTTGAAGGGTAACTGATGGCAAAGTTTCCCCTTTTTTGTTGTCCCAATGCATTCCTCTTAGGCTAAAGAATCCTAAATGATTAAATAAATGATATATTGTGCAAAACCAAATTTTCCGTTTTTTTTTTCCTGATGCTTAATTGACTGCCATTGGAAAACGTTCCGATCCAGGTCATGTGATGTGATACGTCACACGTGTGTAAGGCAGTAAAAAGAAGTTTTCCTGTTCGGAAATTTGCATTTCAGATGTCAATGTCAAATTGTGGTTCAAAAGCCACTTACTTCTGTCGCTACAGATGTCAGGTCATCATTGAACACCCATTCGCTTCGATTCATGTCACACCTTCTCTTGTCGGATGCCGCCATGGAGCCATTAAAGCGGCATTGGGTACTATTTGCTACGCATTTCCATCCGGGATCAGCTGCTATGAACGTCATGATAAGCACAGCGAAACCCATCCAAAAGAAAATCAGCCCATTGCAGCCGAGAAGCAAAAGCTTCTGGTATCGACCAAAGCTGCCAATTTTCTCAAACACTTGATCTACAGTGAGAGCCATTTCTACTAGACAAATAAACAAATAAATAGGTAAATAAGTAAGTAAACTACTGAACAAAGAAAATAAAATAAATCTTCGTGTTCTTGAATTCATTGATATATAACAATAGTAAATGAACTGATAGATGAATAAATTAATGAAGGGTTGCATGATTGAATAAGTGAATTTCAGGTGCAAATAAGACAAAATTGTGTCGAGAGTCTCATGACAGCTTTTAAACAACCATTTTGTGGGTTTATTTCTCTTTCAACCTTAAATAAGTATACTTGACAAAGAGAAGGATGCGAATGTCTTCCTTGACCGCAAATATTATGTAAAGTACTTGGGAGTATCACCTATTGCAAACCTAGGCAACTTTGTCCCTCCACGTATTTATTCATTTCTCTCTACATTTGCTAAGGACAGTCTGTTTGCGCTCTCCTAAACAAAGTATTACTGCTACAGAATCATGCACCACATCTCGTGTATTTTTTTCTAAGATAAATAAACAAAGCATTCTTCTGTTCAACAAAACTAAACTTCTGCCCCTACACTTTTTGTATTATAAAAAAAAATTATTTTTTTTACGCGTGATGTTGACACTGCTTCCGCACCAATGAACAAGGGTAGTTTATTTGCGTTACAAAACGTCTTATGTGTCTTCTCACCACACTCGCCTTTTAACTCTAATAAATTTCTACATAAAACCTTTAAACCTTCCCAAGAATCGGTTCTAGAATATGAAGTGAGACACCATGCTCTCCTGGGGAAATACCAGAAAAAAAATTATTTAAATCTAAAATGAAAAATCAGTTGGCTAAGAATTTTCGTGAGAGAAAATTCGGTCCTTGACATAAACGAGATCACTCCAAAAGTAAAGTTTTATTAAGTAGTTAATAAAACCTTTAAAGGCCTTTTCTATATTTAAGATTTCCACCGAGTCGTTCTGCCTCATTCTAATTTTATCATTTAATAATGAAAATGTTTTTGTATAAATATGTAATTATGAAAGCACTGTTAGTTGGAATTTTCTTATAAGACCTTAGATTTTAAGACTTGCCCGCCTAGCTTAGCTTAAGCTACCTGATGTAAGACTTGCTGTAGCTTTAATTTGAAAACTTGAAAAATAAATATTGTTTTTGTCGTTGTTATATCAACATAGCGGTCTCCCAAATAAGCGTAAGAAAATTGAAACTTTAGAAGAAATCTATAAGAGGACACAGAAGCAGGGAAAAGGACTGATTACTGGAGACTTTTGGACCACAAAACTTATTCAAGTACGGGTATCCTTTTAATTTACCATTCTATTTTGATATTTATCAATATAGGTTTACGCTTATAAATTAAGGTGACTTTGTCGTTTTTGTGGCTATTTATGTAATGTTTAAAAAACGAGCAGGAGTGTTTTATCGGGTTTAAAACCACGAGGCGTAGCCGAGTGGTTTTTGACCCGATAAAACACGTGCTGCGAGTTTTTTGAACGGCTTCAAAAACATTCTTGGAAAAGCGTGTGTCAAGAGAGTTCATAACAATTATGCTTTTGTGAACGTTACAAATTAGCATACGAGAAAAACATTAGGGATTAAATTAGTATGCAAGAAAATCAAATCTCACACGTGTTTTGTACTTTTCTTCTACTAACCGAATAGGACATGGCGTCCTGTTCCAGAGCTTTTCGGAAGCCTAAAAATGCCGAGGAAGAGAGGAATTTAATCGAGAATGCTATCCCAAAGTCAACACGTGCAGTGTTGAATATGTTCCCACCATTTGTTGTGTCAGTTTCTGTGTTGATAATTAATTAATATTCATAAGTCACGTGCAGTGTCTTTATATCTGATAAAACACCGCATACTAATAAGGATGAGGTTTATCGATATAAAGTCACTGCACGTGATGTATTATCTACCATTTGATAGGTTAATGGGCTTATGAATTATTAATGAGTTTTTGAAAACTACAGTAACACAACCTGGAAACACGCCAACTCGTTATAAATATCGTAGACGCTTGAGTCTATCAATTAGTGTTGCCTTTCAACTCAACCCAAGATATATAAATAACAAAGTCGACATTGAAATGACATTAAACTTCACGAGGTATTGCAAGAAGATGATAATTTAGTCTATTTTTTGTATCGCTTTGTTTTCAAGATCTGATAAGTGGAAAGATTTTGAATAATTTACCATTGATACTTTGTCAAATATTTCAAAGGGGGCGGTAGCCCATGAAGTAACTGGCGAGTCATAAACAGCGCTGCTTTAATAAAATTAAAGTTGAATAGAGACAAACGGATGGAAGATTTCGATGCGATTAACAATATTTTGCATTTTGCCACCCAGGGATGTATGAAGCGACTCTCTAGTCGGAGGCATTGTCATTTTTCAACAGGATTTAATAATAAATGCTAAGAACTCAGTCATCCATGTAAAGTTACTTCTTATTTTAACACACATGTTAGTTTGGAAAACTAAAAAAACTGTTATGCTGCTCCACGGGGTGTATGAAACCTATCAACCACTCGATATTGATAAAGATAGATAAATCGCCACAGCAAATTTTGAAAAAAGCTGAGTTTTTGTTCATGTTTTTTTTCAATAGCTGTATTTCGTTATCTTTTTCTTCATCGGAGCCAAATGGAGGAACTGTGAGTTTTGTGTGCGTGTGGTTGTTTGATTGTTTGTTTTCCTTGTGCAGTTCTTGTGTTCTAATATAAATAAAGAAGTCTGAGGTCGTAGATCAAGAAGTATTCTTTTTGAGCTGAACTCTCATTGACGCGGTGTTAAGAGTGATAAAATTATTAGGTTTAATCTTTTCATTTCCAGATCGCTTTTCCTGAGAATTGTGGGACTCGAGTTATTTAATTGCAACGGTAATACCAATTGTGGGCGGAGGAAGATGGACTTGGCTTTAGGAAACTCAATCGACAAAACAAACCAATAATAAAATCTAAATGGATTTCTAAGTTACCCAGTAACGATGAATACCGAAGAACTATTGCTCTTGGCATCTTTAAAAGCGAATGCAATGCACTCTCGAACATTGTACACCGAGTTCTCCAACTCGAGCGATAATCTCAAGAACATGATCTCATTGAATTCTCGTATATAAGAAAAATTAAACAAAAATAAAAAAAAAACTCAGTTCCTCTAGCACATTCTGACAAAGACAAGCTTAAAATTGTCTGCAAAATGTTGGTAAATTGTTCATAGTTCTTTCATGATTTCAGTGCAAGCCAAAACAGGCTAGGCAACAACTTGAACACAATCAAACTTTCCGTAATCACTTTGGTATAGTTCTGACTTGTTCAATTTTACACTGATGTAAGTCGTGCGGATAAATAGTCAACACAACCTAAAGAAAGCCTCGTGAAATCTTTGATGGATTGACGCGAATTATAATCGGCTGATAGTAGCTAACAATGATGTCGTGCGGATCGAGTCACGATATGCGAATTTGTACATAATTCAGCAGCTAGATACTCCTTGCTAATTAAAATGTGAAGTAAAGTTAGAAAGACAAAAACTGAAGTACCTTCGACGGTGAAGAATGCCGCAAATTTGACTTTAACTTCGAACCCTCAACAAACTTGCGAAAGCCTTGCGGTTGAGTTAGTTTCCCTCCTGTGAATAAATTGAAACGACTAGCACCCTTGCGTAATTTTTTATGCATGACTGTTCAAGAGAGTGATTTAAGTGCGTTGAGGCAGATACCTTAGTATGCGAGAATTTGACATATTGAATGGCAAAAGAAAGGTGCTTACCCGACACTGGAATGTCGTCCCTACAGAATTTGAGATATAGTACTTTAAATCACATATCCTAGAAGCGCCTATATGAAAACGTAAGATAGACAATAAATTAAAATTTTCAAAACAGAAACTAAATGTTTTAGTAAATAATGTGCCTGAATTAACGTGAAAACTGAGAATAGAAGTCCCATGTACTTCACATGGTTTGAAAATATTGTTTTTACGCAATTGCGTATTGACTTGCCTGAACTTTGACTCAGGATATGACAAAACTTCAATATGTAGAAATGCTTAGCGGTAAAAGAAAGCAAAGCTGATGCTTACAAAAATATATCGGCTTTGTTTTGATCTTTCATGCCCAAAGGAATTCAAAACAAACCATCAGGTGACAGTGTCAAACATTTCTGAGAGCCACTTACATTTATCACTCCAAAAGAAACTGAATAATTCGATCCCGCTTGATGTTAATTCATATTCTTTGCGAGTTCAGACGTGTCATTTGTACTTTCTCGCATCTATTTCTGATAGATTTAAAATCATCTTACGCCAGTATTGGGTTCTAAAAACCTCATTCATGTTCTAAGATTACCTTGCACAGACTTGTGGAATAATGAAAGCTGTATGAGCGACCCTTCGCTCCGAACGTACATTTTCGGCAAGAACTAGTTCTCTTGTGTTCTAAGAACTGATTGATTCCAATGGTGCTACGAACCGCGTGTCTGTTCGTACATAATGGATTACGAAGCCTTAAGTTTCTAAGATTTAGGGAAATATTCCTTTCTTGAACTCAACCACAATCTGCTTAAAATATATAATCTTTCTACGGAGTTTTCGCTTCTATCAAAATGTTTCACAGATTTTTTTTTAAAAGCTGATCATTACAGCTGGTTACGGCAATTTTGGCCCATCGGTGTCATTGTCTTAGCTCTCAAAGACGCCAGATTGTATTCAAACAGTGCCACTCTAGTACCTATGGGTGATTACTGATATTCAGGTTGTCTAATTCATTTAATAAATATCGAACTGATTCGAATCTCTGAGATCGACGCTAAAAAAGAAATATTGAAAGTTATATCGTCCCTGCTCACCCGATCCGAAATTGAAAGGCTGTCAGGGACTAACGATTCTGTAGCTATCTTTGTTCTTTGTTCTGGAATGAACAAACTCACTTCAGAATGTTACCAAAATCGTGGAAGGGAGAACGAGAGAACGGGAGAACGGGAAATCAGGGGAACGAGAGAGAGGGAGAACGGGAAATCAGGGGAACGGGAGAGAGGGAGAACGGGAAATCAGGGGAACGGGAGAGAGGGAGAACGGGAAATCAGGGGAACGGGAGAGAGGGAGAACGGGAAATCAGGGCAACAGGAGAACGGTAGAATGGGAAATCAGGGGAACGGGAGAGAGGGAGAACGGGAAATCAGGGCAACGGGAGAGCGGGAATTTAGGGAAAAGAGAGAAAGGGAGAATGGGAAATCAGGGGAACGGGAGAGCGGGAATTTAGGGAAAAGAGAGAAAGGGAGAATGGGAAATCAGGGGAACGGGAGAGCGGGAATTTGGGGAAAAGAGAGAAAGGGAGAATGGGAAATCAGGGGAACGGGGGAGCGGGAGAGGAGTAGAAGGAAAGGACAGAAAAACGGGAGAATAGAGGATTAAAGGAAGAGAGGAACGGTAGAATGGGGTATAGAAGAAAGGAGGGGACAGGGCGAACGGGAATACTGGCGAACGGGAAAACGAAGCAACGTGGGAACGAGAAACGAAGAACGAGGAACGAGGAACGGGGAACGACGAACGGGGAACGGGGAACGGGAAACGGAAAACGCGGAACGGGAACGGGGAACGGGAACGGGGAACGGAGAACGGAGAACGGAGAACGGGGTACGGGGTACGTATGATTACTAGAGCTTAAAGACAATTTGCGCGAATAAATTTCAAAGCCCAACTTCAACGTGGGTATCATATGTATTGAAACTAACAAAGGATAAATAAAGGATGACAAAGAGTCGCAAATTTTTACACACCAGAAAGAAAAAAAAAACATCTGGAAAATTTAGGGTTCCCACGGAATCTTAAATACACAATTCACACACGTATAGGTTTAAGCCTCAGCGTTTAAAGTTGATCTTAAAGCCATCAAGCCAAATAACAATTTCCCCAAGTAATCTTTGGCAACAGCAGGCAAATACACAACAATTTCATAAGGGGAGAGAATGGCGAACAAAATCTTGAAAAAAAATTAAAATCATAAGCTCAATTTTCCACGATGGCTTTCTGTGACGTGGTTGCCTTAGATTGGGCCGTAAGAATACAATACATTAAACAAGTTTTGGGGGAGCTTGCGTAAACTAAGCATATGCAGGAGGTATTCGAGACATTTCTTCTTCCTCTCTCTTCACTGTCTCCAGCGTCGGTTCATTTTTGGTTTCTGGTAGCGTCAAACACAGTACCCCAGCAAGCAAAGCATTTGCACCCATAATAGCAAACGGAAGCAAGCTATGAACACGATTCTATAGAAGGAGAGAACAAAAGTGAATTTCAGAGAAAGGCAAACGCTACCGAAAAATAGAAGTGTCAAGAAAAGAATTTTAAAGCCCTTAACACGAAAACAAACTTCAAGGATATGATAAACAGCATTTAGTTACTATTTGAGTTCGAAGTCCGAAGTTTAGGTTTGCGATGAGTTTCCAAACAACGACTGTTTTGTCTAACTTTCATAAGTGGACGTGCTTAGTTTGTCTACTGACCTTGGATCTACACAGAGTTCATGTTTTGGCTCACTCAATCAAAGATAGATTCAGTCGATCGGAAGCATCAAGTACACTGTTGTTCATTTGTGAGATTCTTGTAAAAGTGCCTAGGTCACTGTTCTAAGAGGAGATGTTTAATCTTCCAAGGTCAGTCGGCCAGCATATTCGCTCATTCCCCTTTGGTAGTGAATATATAAGTATGTACTTTACAGTTTACTTAGCAGAATGAAGAATCAATTAGAAAGACAGATTGAGAGTCTGAGATATGGTAATGATCAGTCAGTCAGAGTAGTTGAATGGAGGAGAGGCGTGAATTTCTTGTAAGTATAATTGTATTTTAGAAAATCAAGAGATTAATTAAGACTGAAAAAGACAGGTCGAAGAACTTGGTGCTTTTCGTAAAAGCGTGTTGCGGTCTGCAGCTAGTTTCCCTTTCATTGCCACCCAACACATTCATGCAAATGCTAGAAGCATGACAGATATTGCAACCACAGGAAAAATGTTTGACGAAGTTATTCTGCCCTCATCTGTTTTTTCCCAAAAAGAGTAGTAGAGTGCGTGGATGAACCTACTAAATATATACAGAATCGCATTGTTTTTGTTACTTACGGTATACACTATAAACGGAGAACACATCGAGCCAATACGGGCGGAAGCGGTCGATGTTCCTACACCGATGTTTCTGTAAATAAAAATCACCGTCATCATCATTCTCATCATTCTCATCGTCATCATCAACGTCATCAATACCACTAACATCGTCATTATCATCGTCATCGTCATCGTCGTCGTCGTCGTCGTCATTATCATCATCATAATACATCCTCTTTCTTACCGAAAACAAACGAAGATCAAAGACGAAAAGCGAATAAGATACTAGACGGCAATTTTACTCTCATATATTTCACGTACATTGTTTTTCCCTACATATGAGCTCGGAAATGGAGAGGGAACTTTATCCAAAGCATACACGTTGATACTTGGATCGATTTGAAACAAACAGATAAAAAATGGAGGAGCATTTTACGGCTTATTGTAAAACGTAAGAGGGTAACCTAATAACAGCAAGATGGATTACCTAATGGCAGTCGGAAATAGCTCTGCTGTATAAAGATATACTCCGTCAAAAGATATAGTGATGAAGAATTTTGCTACAATCATGGACATGATGATCTTACCAGCCAGCGCGCCTGCGACAAGACATAATTAAAAGAAAGAATGAGATAAACAATGACAAAATTCATGAAAAAACAACTCAGAGTGATATTTTCTTTAGTCTGTTCTGACCGTTTGTTCGCCATCCATGGAGTAATTCTCTATTCCGTGGACCTCATGAAAAACCTCGGTAACAGTTTTTCACCATGTGGACCTCCCAGCCGGGAAATAACAAACCGTATTGGGATACTGATTATTCTCACCTTTGCTGCCACCGCCTTCACTTTCAATAAGTACGGACGCAAATGCTCCAATGGCGGCCAAGATCAAACTTGTAATAATACTTTTCTTTCGACCAAATCTACAAAAAAATTTAAGTTGCTGGCAACAACAATACACAGGATAACCGAACCTGTTAACCGAACCTGATTCCTTTCCCAAAATAAAAACAAAAAATTGTTTGAAAAATAACAGGGTACTCGATATCAAGACTATTACAATGGGTATCAAAAGTAGTTGGCATAGTTCCCCTGAGTAGGTGGTCAATAACTTTTCATTCACCACGACAAAAACAAAACTTGTAATTCAGCCACCCATAAGCTACCTGAAAGTTCCCCCCTTTTCACCTCAAACAATGTTGCAATAAATAAGTGATCATTTCAAGCACCAGGCAACATTGAAATGGGGGAGGGGTGAGAAAGTTATATAAAAACTCCAAAACGTAGTAGAGCCTATACCAAGACTCTTCTAGTTAAATATAATTGCAATGGCCAAAGCCTTCATTTACATGGTTATTTTCTTCCCAAAAAAAGTGAAAACTGAGTAACGTCTCTAGTGATCTTTTGACATTTCTCCTGTTCTATTGCAACCATGACAAAGTCAAAATAGGCAAAAGTTTGATAAAGCATGTCCACTTCATGAAAACTCTATGTTCCACGAACCTGTTAAAGGCCCATACGCCTGCTGGAATAGCTGGAAGTTCAATCAGGCTTGTCAAGAAAAAGTTTAAGTAGAAATTTCCTCCAATATTGGGTGCACTGAGAAAAACTCCATAATAAACCAAGGCATTAACAAACCTGAAATAAAAAAAAAGAAAAAAAGATTTCTCCCAGAAAATTATTCTTATGGAAGATGAAGGAGTTGCCTGTGTATTAGATCCTTGCGTTTGCAAAGATTTCTGGGATCGCCACAGGGCACACATTGCAAGTTGCCAGCAGAAAATTTATGGCGAAAGGTTGTGTCGAAGTTCAGTAAACGATTTTAGAGAGAGATCAACGATTTTTCACCGCTGTTTTATCAAAAACGAATTTGGGTAAAATCTTTGCTAAACCCCAGGATCCTATTATTGGCAACTCATTCATTTTTCGCGGATTTGTCATAATACTCCGTGCCTCCCTGATACCTCATAAGGTGAATGAATAAAGGGGGTAAGTTTCTATAGAGACTGTGGTTCTGCGTCGGTGGGAGAGTAGAACAGGGTAATTTAGTATTATCAAGTGAGTTGATAACTTAACTTGGCCACCGTTACGATTTTAAAAGCTGACTTTTCGACCGTTAGCCCTTTGCCAATCGCTTTGACGAAGGGCTAACGCTCAAAACGTCAGCGTTTAAACTCGTAACGGTGGCCAATTTACGTTATCAACTCACTTGATAATACTTAATTACTTTGTAAAGTGGTTGTTGAGCGCCATTACCAACTGAGTCACCGAGCCCCCTAGCAGGACTCGATGCAAATTATGACTTACTTCATTTATTGTGAGGGGATGTTCATAAGAGGTAGTACATCGATGATTTTATACCGAGCAGCTTGATATGAGTGAATGTACTTATGAATTCACTTCATTTGCTCTAATATTTTAATTTTATGAATCAAAATTACACCTTTACCAGCAATACCACGACAATAAAGTTTTCTTCACCATTTGGCGCGACGAAAACAGGTCACACACATCACCTAATCTGTCATCATCGTCCGGTGCTTGCAGCTCTCCAACAGGCATGGACGTTTTGTTGACCCTGGCCATTCTTCGAAAAATAGCCTTTGCATCTTCTGTTCTTCCCTTCACCATCAACCATCGTACTGACTCGGGTGTCAGACTTAACAAACAAAAAGAAATGTTCAGCTCAGTGCTCGTTCAATCACTTTTTTCTAAAGATATAAATTCGCCGTCCCTTGTCGACCGCGACGTTTCGGTTGTTATCACTTTAATCATCATAAGCCTAAATGGCAGGTTCCTTCTTAGCCGTTATTTGGTCTCGTCACGCATCGCGCCCTCTCCCTCCCCCAACGGCTGCTTCAATCACTGCTTCATTCCTTTTCCTTTGCTTTGAATGCGTGGGACCGCCACGCATTCAAAACCTTAGTGTTGCAACAATCACAGCTTGCCTTTTAGGGGAGGGAGCGCTCTGCGTGACGAGACCAAACAACGCATTCGAAGGGGACTAATTAAATGGTGGAATCGCAACTTCTGAAGCTCGACAACCAAAATTTGTGAAGTATGACCGATAAAATATTCAATGATTTTTCAAATGTACTATCGATTTCCTGTAGAAACATCGGCTGAAAGAACATGGAGATTGTATGATGTTTAATTTTATTTTCCAAAACGAATCCAAATCATTTCTCTATGAGTTCTAACACTAGTGTCATACTACACCGATTAGCATGATAACGGGTCCGGTTTTAGTTTTTGTAGATTTTGCAAATAGTTTTTATTGCGCAAAAATAAGTTTCTATAGAAAAATTTAAAAAAACGGCAAAAATTTACTACAATCAACGTATGGGAATTTTGAGTGAATTTGTTTTCTTCGAATTCGGACCAACTCGAGACATCTATGAACTACGAATCATCTACCGAGTACCTCATATCTGTGATACTCCTCGTGCTGGTAAATTTGAAAATACTTATTATCGTTCGGCTATACATGATGTCCAGTTTGAAAGGAGAATCACAATAATACTCATGAGATGAATGAAAGTGATCCTCGCAGTGATGTGCACTACTTGGGCAGTAGTGAAAATAAGGCCTGAAAAAAATTTCAGGCCTGTACGGGATTTGAACCCATGACCTCTGCGATACCGGTGCAGCGCTCTACCAACTAAGCTAACAAGCCAACTGGGAGCTGGTCATGATAGTGGTTCTAAATAAACCCGTGAAGTGATGAATATACGGTTAAGAATATATGAAAGTCATATATTTGAAATGCGGATAAAGACATGAATGAAAGTGATCCTCGCAGTGATGTGCACTACTTGGGCAGTAGTGAAAATAAGAAAAAAAAAAAAAATTTCAGGCCTGTACGAATGACCTCTGCGATACCGGTGCAGCGCTCTACCAACTGAGCTAACAAGCCAACTGGGAGCTGGTCATGATAGTGGTTCTAAATAAACCCATGAAGAGATGAATATACGGTTAAGAATATATGAAAGTCATATATTTGAACTGCGGATAAAGACATGAATGAAAGTGATCCTCGCAGTGATGTGCACTACTTGGGCAGTAGTGAAAATAAGGCCTGAAAAAAATTTCAGGCCTGTACGGGATTTGAACCCATGACCTCTGCGATACCGGTGCAGCGCTCTACCAACTGAGCTAACAAGCCAACTGGGAGCTGGTCATGATAGTGGTTCTAAATAAACCCGTGAAGTGATGAATATACGGTTAAGAATATATGAAAGTCATATATTTGAACTGCGGATAAAGACATGAATGAAAGTGATCCTCGCAGTGATGTGCACTACGAGGATCACTTTCATTCATGTCTTTATCCGCAGTTCAAATATATGACTTTCATATATTCTTAACCGTAAATACTCATGAGGTTTCCAGTGAGGATTTCAGCCACCCTTTTTGAACCACTAAACTTTGTTCGCGAAAAACATAATAATAATAATAATAATATAATAATAATAATAATATATCTAATTCGCCGCAAAGGCAATTTTTTTCCTCTTCTATTTCACTTACAACCAACCAAGCAGCGCAGGAAGTCCAGGAACTGCAGTAACGATGGTGAGCGTCCTCCAGTCTCTGATGAGGTAAGCTATTCCAGCAAGACACATGAGAGATATGCTCCAGCAATACCATAGAGACATTCCCATCATACTGCGGTGGCGTACACCAACAAATTCAGTTACAAGGACAAAGATTGCAACGCTTGCACCCCCTGTGGAAAAAAGGAAGGAAAACATCTCAGTGAGGATAATCAGATAGTGATATCCATATTTCAAGGATGATAGAAGATAATGAAAGGATTTTTGAAGAGTAATGAGTGAATAATAATAAAAAGTTTAAGCACGCAATTAAGGTTTCCTTCTCCATCCTTACAACAGAGTCTTTTTGCTGATACAGTTAACAAAGAGAGAAAGTTTCTAAAGAAACTGTAATGCTGTGTGGGAGGAAGGTATAACGAGATAATTTGGTTTAATTAAACCCGTTGATAAAACCAAGTAATTTTGTTACACAGATCACAGTTGGTAATCCTTAATAACAAAAGTAGTTTTAAAATGTCTAAAAGTAAAAGGAACAAAGACATTTCTCATAGGCGTGACGAGGACATCTTGATCTAGTGACGAAATTTCAAACCAAAACAGCAACAACTACCAATCGGGACAAAACAAAACAAAGCAAGGAGCCAATGATAACTCGAAGAAATTGAATGAAAAATGCCTTAGATGCGGCAAAACAGGAACGACCAAGTCGCCACTGGCTTTACTTTTAAAAATGATTGGCAGAGAGGGCTGCACGAATTTCCTCGACGAATCACAAAAAGCAGTGAAATGAGATCAAGGTAAAGACGAATAACTTTAAAACTCAATTAAAAATGCTCCATTTCCAAAACATTTCAACTCTCACCAACTCCTAAACCGACAATGATCTTGAAGACAACAAACAGCGAGAATATTTTGGGGAAGGCCGACACCAGGCTGAAGACACCGATGACGAATCCTGAAATGAAAATGGTTGGCTTTCGTCCAAACTTGTCAGTGAAAGGACCAATGATTATGGCACCAACAAAGAAACCAAGGAAAACAGCGGCTAACGCCAGGGTCCCATAGATCGACTTGCCGCACACAAGATCAAACTGCAAGACAAACAAATTAATGAACATAACGATTGCTTGGTATCAAAAATGCTTCCAACAAAGTCACGAAGAAGACAAAGAAGAAATATTTAGTCAGTGGTTTCTTTCCTAAAGGAAGAATTAAAGAAGGATAAATAAGGAGAAACTTTCGTATAAAACGAAGGAGACTCATTGTGTAGTTGAGGCACTCAGACAAACGTGGTATCGCGGGAATTTCTAATACTTAAGATTTTGTCGCAACATGGCGGAAGATGTAAATGAGACTCAGCCGAAAAATTCTTTCATTCAAGGTATTTATAACTTGAACTAATACACCAAAAACACCTTTCCCGTCGATTCTCCCTCATTTGACTCATATAGTAAACGATATAATTTTTTGTTGGAAATAATTGGCTTGTCTTATTTCATTAGTTGTTCATTTGTTTTATTTTCTGGTAAATTGTAAGTTAATGATGCTTTCTCGGTTATTAGTTTACTAAAAAAAAAAACCTGCTCGTAGGCCAAATTTGACGTACTATATTTTACTTCAGTTGTACTTTGTGATCTTACTGAATGAACTTTTTGAGGTATCCTGAAAGTTGAAGCCGATAGTCAGAGTTATCATGATGTCTTACCCACTGACTAATGCTAAACCAGTGTGCATCTATCTTTTCTTGAGGAAAATTCAGAGTGATGTGGATCTACAGATTAGATCTGCACGGATCATCACAAGTTGCTCTCAGTGGCCGACTCTTTCCAGAAGAAGCTCTTACCACGAGGCTAAATTCGTTTTGCTTTTCTCTGTCTTCACTCATTAGTCCCTGGTTAATTTTTCATTACAGTTTTGCTAAATTTTCGAACATTCATAATTATTCCACATGGCAAAGTATGAAGCTATCCCTACCAAACGTTACACAGAATTTTGGGAAAAGGACCTTTCTTTTTAGTGGCGCAAAATTTTTTTAACAGACTCCTTGTAAACATTGTTAAGAGTGAAAAGATTCAGATGTTCTGCCGCCAAGCAACACATTTCTTTTTATCATTACTTTGATGTTTTATTATATTTTAGGCTCTAAAAGTGATTTTGTATCGTATTTTTTAGGTTCTTAATGTAGTTCTTGAATTCTATTGTTGTATTTTTATTAGGCTCTTTGAATGTGATAGTGTATGAAAATTCTTAATGTAAATTAATAGTAAAGATACAGGGCCCCTATGGAGACCAGCCTTGGAGCTGAATGGGCTACCCTGTGTAAATAAAGTTCAATATTTAAGATATCATTAATTAATTTTTTTTTTTTTACCTCGGTAACCACAGTGGTCATCTCATCCTCGAATTCCCATTCACTCCGCGAGATGTTACATCTATGGTCGTAGTGCTCATCTCCAGAGTAAAAGCTACCTCCAAAGGTGCAAACAGAACTATTCTGGACACATTTCCAAGGAGGTTCTGCTGTTATGATGCCCGTCACCATCACAGCCCAGCCAAACAAAAGGGCGGATAGCAAATTAAATAGAATTAGGAGTCGTATTTGGAACCATCCAAAACTGCCAACCTCCTCCAACACATCGTCAGCAGAGAGAGCCATATTCTACGAATGAAATGTGTAACGTCAATTTAGGTAAATGTCACGCCAGAGAAGGAAAGCCCCCTGTAGATAGTTTTTAAAACCAAAAAATAAACTAGCCATCTCAAATTTGCAATCGACGAATCATATGATTTCTATAGAGGCGCCTTTTTGACATTTCTACGAGTTAATTTAATTCAAAGGACACGAACAGAGTTTGTGCATATAGAAAATATTCTTTTCAAGATCATTTTGGAAACATTGTTGATATTCTTCACCCCAGACATTGTTGTGCACGTCTTAATTTGTCACTGTGGTGTTTGTGTGACCCAAACAAGAAAGATGGTAAATTTTGAGCGGGGTCGTGAAATTAATCTTTGTCACGCGCGTGGGAAGAATGACAAATATGAGAGAACCCTCACGAGGTATCAAATTTCCAACCTTTCGATCGTCAAATTAATTTCTTTGTTCTACGCGGAAAATGAGCAGGTAGTCTTTATAGAACTCTTTAATTAATAAGAGGTTTCCTTCCACTGTCGATATTAGTCAACGACACACAAAAAAGAGTCATAGCATAGCATCACATGATGTTAAATGACGCAAACTTAAAATGCTTAGTTATCAATAATAATCCTCGTGACAAATGTTGGACAACAAGCTTCTCGAACTCCAAACAAGCTTCCATTCGAACGCGCCGCCTAATCGTCCGACTTCCACTATTAGTTATTAAGAATTTAGGAATATTATTAACTGACACCATCCGACTATTTTCTCATAGATTCTTTAATTATTCTAAGTTTGAAGCAAACCTATTTATTTATGTAACAAAACTAATATAGGCAGTACTTGAATCACTCTTCAGTTTTATCTTACTTAACCAATTGTTATCCTTATTATTTGGCGAACTTCATTTATAGTTACAACTGATCAACATTAAATATGTAAATTTTTGTAGTTTAATCTCAGTTTTTGGAGTTCGCAATTGTTATTGTTATTTCCAATCTCGTTCGAATATTGTACGGCTCGTTATATTTTATGTGCTGATTGTATAAAAGCTCAGGCTGACTTCATCTCCATCAAATTTTGTTTTCAAACTCTATCGAACAGATCACCATCGACCCTATTTGTAAAATGATTGCGCCTTCTCGATCTTCGATCCTACTTCGTAACGGGGCCATTCAGATCTAGAAACAAGAAGGTGTTAAATATTCCTCTTACGGTCTCAGTCTCACTCAATTTCACCGATCGGTGCCCAAAATTATGAAGAAGAAATTATCCACATCATCTGGTTCGTTCTGGGCGATCAAACAACTTTCCTATTAGCAGGAAAATTGAGCAACTACTGAGAAGGAGCAGGTTTCGTGACATAAGCCATGCGAAAAAATAAACTAAATATTATTCACTCGGGAGCATGTTAAATATTCATAACTTCCATGCTTTTGGTGATAAATTTTTCAATTTAGGAATGAGACAAACACAGCGATGCCTTAATACCTTTCTTTTGGACATAACCTTCTTTAAAGAGCTGAAAAAAATATCGATATGTAGATATTATGTTTAATAATAACGTGACTTGTTGTGTCAAGCAACAGAAGCATGTCGTCTTCTTAACCTACGATTTCGATTCGACGCGATCTTCGTCGAAGGTTGTCATCATTCATTTCAAATCACCGCATCCGATACACCACAGCATTTAGTGATAAGTTATTGCGATCAATAGAAATGTCAAAGAAATTGGTTCGCTTCTGTGGATACCTGACTGACCATAAATGGCAACCGACTAAACCCGATTGCCGCGAGATAGTTCTGAAAAGGACGACAGTGTTACAAATTTAGCCTTGAACTATCAAGATTAACGTATATTCTTCGATTATTTGTGTATTACAGAAAGTGGCTTCGCTTACCTGTAGTGCTCTTCACAAAGTTCACGATCGTTTAGCTTGCAAATCGGCTTACTGCGTTAAAACAGAAAACGTGGGAGAAAGCGTGGGAGAGAGAGAACACGTTGCGTGACAAAACCGATGCTCAGGAACGATTGCATGAAATGTAACGCGTTACGGGCGACTGTGATCTTGTGGCATTTCAAATAAAGACACTTGACCAGAATGACAGATACAAAAACAAGTGAAAACTAAGATATCTGTATTTGTTTTCGGGCAAATTCACCCAACAGAGTCAGATTAAGCCATCGTCTCTCGCGAGAAAGAGCTTCAATTTCCTTTGTAATCATTCTTATCCCACTCGCAGAATGCTGAATAATAAACAAATTAGCCTTTGCCTATTGTGGAACGTTCAAAACATGGAACAATAACAGTGTGTTAAAATTCGCGATATATTTGAGCTAAAACAAATAGGATAAAAGAAATATCACTTTACAAAATTTACAGTAGCACCTGGGTGACTGACTAGCCGTTGGATTAAAACTCACATGCACGAGAGAGTCCCGTGAATATGAGCAAATCAACCACAACGATAACAAATACATACCAAAAAAAAAAAGAAGAGATATAGGGAAAGAAGAGAGAAAAGGAAAACAAAACATGACATGAAGAAGGATGAAATTCTAGACGAGTAACAATTTTTAATGGAAACTAGCGAAGTAACGACACGATGTCCCGAAAATCGCTCATAGCCAGTGCAACAAGGGAAAAAAATCATAGTTATATTGCAGCACATTAAATGTATCTCTAGGGGAATCCTTATACTTATCCTTATCAACAGTGTTTTTAGGGTTTTCATTCACTAACGACTGTGAAAGGCTCGTAATATCGAACAGTCTATCGAAGCCTTGTCTAGAAAATCTTAAAAAACATCTTCCACATAATGAACAAAATATATTAAATATAGCTTTTGTCATTTACAAGTATGTTTACAGCCTTTGTTTTACTGAGGATCTTTTTTGCCAGAATATAGCGACTGAAATTTCGGATTTTAAAATCTTTCCATATACCAAAAGCTGATATTTTCTTGCGAGTTTATATTCAGGAGCTGAAATGAAAATAACAAACCATGAAGATAAAATCAGTTACTGGGATAATTAAATAGTAAAGAAAAACTATATTAATCAAAAAGTGTAGGCAGAAATAATTTTAGCTTAAAGCAGAAGAACTTAATAAAATAAACAGCTAAAAAATGAAGTTTTTTAATTAAAAGTGTAAATACCATGAAGAGCCTGTGATTTCATTTTTTTCTTTCAACACCCTTTTCTGTCCTAAGTTTCAGAAACCTTAACTTATCCAAGTTCTCAATTCAGTGACGGTTTCATCGATATCTTCCATATCCTTACTCTCCTTATGATCTAGAAGCCCGCTGACATCTACCGCATGTTTGAGGGCGACTTGCAGGTGGAAGGCAGTGGTGGTAGCCGCAAGTCGTCCAACAGCCCTCTTGCCTTTGTATCCCCGTCGGGACCACAGGGCTTTCCTAAAATCCGGGATCCTTAGGCAATAAAGTACAGGATTGGCAAACGAATTGCCAAAATTTATAAGATTTACGAGTAACAAAAGATTTTTATCCACCGGAATATAAACTGTAAACGTGTTTGTCACTATAAGTGGTAACCAGCAAGCTAAGGCCACAAAAGTTATCAATAACAACGTCTTAGTTGACCGCTTGCTTTCCGGACCTTTGGCATCGTTCTGGCTTCGCATGAACTTCCTCCCTTGCGTAAAGCTCTTGAAAATACCAATGTAACATACGCATATGATAATAGTCAGTGTGAAAGCGTAAGTCATCCAAATATAAATCGAAATGTGAACCGACTTGTGAAGAGAACCTATTATCACAGATGAAATGATAATCGATGAAATCCAAGTCAGTGAAACAGTTATGTAGTACGCTCTGCGGTGCGCTATGGATCGGTGCTTTAGAGGCCACCCAATTGCAAAGAACCTCTCTCCAGCGATAAACGCAGCTGTAATTATTGAAGTCTGGGCACAGACGGTGTCTACAGTCAGATAGAATAAATTTAAGGAGTAACCCCATTCGATGGACCATAGTTTAGAGTCGCCACCAAGACGATAAATGAAAAGAGGCATAGCTAAAACACCCAACACAAAATCTGCACAGGCCATATTTATAACCAACAGGAAACTCTTCTTGCGAAGAGTTTTGTTCGAGGCAAAAACCGTAATGGTAAGCGCGTTGCCTACTATTACGAGGAATGCTACAATAATAAACGCACTGCACCAAGCAACTCCTTCGGTCTTGCTGTACGCCACAAGAAACAGAGATTCGTTCGTCCACTCGAAGAGCCTTGAACTGTTTTCCATATAACCCATTTAAAAGGAAAGGATGAACTTTAAGTGGCGAGCAGAATATTTTTCTCTCAGTTCACACCCCAAAGTGTTATGTAAATCACTTTTGCAATATTAATAAGTGTTACATAAAGAATTCAATTCATTATTGCATTTCAAAACAGTACGATTTAAACAATTTTTGGAGTAAAACTGCATATTTCGGGATATACAAAGCAATATGTACAGAGTGGACGTTATATTTCCCATCACAGTAAGATAAAATGAACTTGTAACTGTTGACAATTTTCCGTCCCGCCAAGCGTAAAAAAAAAGTAAAAAAAATGGTTAGATTTTATTATGCATGATTTTTTGATGCCCTGCTTGCTTATCACCAAAAAAAGAAACTACCTAACCCCATGTATAAACATTTAATTATCCCAGGTGGTGCTCAGTCGCCGTTTCTTCGATCACAGTTGGCAAATAGATTTTACAAATTTAACAAACCAAATACTAGCCAGCTTTTGAGCTCTAATTATTATTTCTCCTGTTCACTCTGATTATTCTATCTGTTCTTCTATTATAAAATTTTTCATGCTGATCTTTGGAGACTTACTGCTCGCCTAACAGCATGGGAAGTAGCCATACGTGAGTATAGCAAATGAAACTGGTTGGCGAAACATTATAAACATAATAATTGCTCTCTACGCGTTTCGGCTGGAAGTAAAACCTAATTCAGGACAAAATATATTCTGTCATTCTTCTCTTCTCATGAGAACTTCAAAAATACATGAGCGAATAAATAAAGACACCATTGTTTCTTCACCACCCTTATAATCATGCTTCAATGCAAGGCTACGGACAATGTCTTGTGGGCCGAGGAAACCGGGTTTCTAAAGATATCACGTATAACAAGGGCCTTAAAATTATGAATAAATAATTGCCCTTGAGCTTGACTATCACGCAATCTTCAATGCAAGGCCTCGGACAACCTGTTAAAAACCGGTTGTCCTCGGAAAGCCGGTAAAAATATATTTTCAAAGCTATCTCTTGAAACAAGAGCTTCAAAGAATAAATAAAAAGAAACTACCCTTGTAGCTTAACTACCCAACATATCACCACGAAACTTCCTCATTCAATGCATGGCTTCAGAGGATGCCATGAGCGACGAGAAAACCTGGAAAAATCGCATTTTTTAAGCTTTCTTATGAAACAAAAAGTTCAACAGAAAAACTTTGAAATATGATAGAATTCTACTGTGACTTAGAAATCCAAGATATCTTAAATGTTTCGGACAATGCCTTGTAGGCTGAAGAGTAAGATGTTTCAGTCAAAATGGTTGTCATATTGCATACGGCGCTTCTCGGCATGAAGGATGCTGTCTGCACGTGTTTGTTATCAGCCTATTGTAAGGATGACGATTTTGTTTTTCAGTCTTTTAAAATTTCTTCTTCACAAAGACGCTAGACCTTCTGCTACATTAGCCCGTTTCTTCATTTAGCTCTTTGCGAAATGACACTCTTACTCATAACAAAAACGCCTTAACTCGAACTTTCAAGCGAAGGAAATGGAAAAAAGTTCGAGTTTGAGTTCGGAAGATCGAGTTATCGGTGGTTGAAAACAAAAAATCGGAGAACAAAGAAAATGTGGTGTTTACTGTTTTTCTATTCATGCAGCATACATTTTGATAACATTTGATTAAAGAGACGGCGAATGAAAATGAAAAACTAAGTTACTGTAAAATTCAGAACGTAAGGTGAAACAAAACGAAGCAAAGCCTTGGGAGAGGCATTGTAGTTAATATACCCAAAACCAACGAAACCTAAATTGGACTTATACGGTATATTTTTATTTGTAAGACAAAAAAGGCTAAAAGGATAAATGAAATGTTTGGACTGCAGTACACTGTTTCTTTTGATTTCATGAGTACTGAGAGACATGGTTTGACGTGAATTGAATTATCGAGGGTCAAATATATAGAGAGTTACCTGAAGGGAAACGAAAATTGCTTCGAGTCGTTAGGAGTTTCGAGTTATCGAGCTATCAGGAGTCAACTATATTTGTGTTTTTCTAGATAAGCGTTAGGAGACGCGAAAAGCATATGGTTAAGACAAAAAGCATATAAATACGTAGTATAAAAAATGTCGAACGGTTCGTGGAACTTGAAGGGAGGTATTTTCATAAAGCACCTAAACTAATTTGAAAGGTAATTTTCCCAATTTAATCCTTTCTAATCTCACAGGGGAAAAGCTGAAAGAATAAACGAATGATAAGCATAGCGTCAAAACAACTCTTTTCAACAAGATATATAGTTGGAATTGCGAGATATCCAGCAACTTGAGTACAACTCTGTTTTGCCAATATGAATGGACTCATTACAGGAGTAATCTTGATGAGGAAAAGTATGAAGAGGGATCCAACGACCAACTACAAGGCTTTTTAATGTTGCGCTTCCTTCATCATATGTTATTCACAATTTAACTCTAAGATAATGGGGAATTAAAGAAGTTCGTCGCTGTTTGTTTCAGTGTAATCACCTGCTCCGTGATATTCTTTATATTCCATTCAAAATCCGTAATTGGTGCCCTGCTTCTTCGTATATTTTTTACATAAATAATAGCACCTACAACGCTTCCAATCTGTTTGTGTTAAGATTATTGTCTTTATTATGTTATAATAAAATTATGAGCCGTGATCGTCTTTAGAGCTCTTCATGAAAAAATCCA